ATGCAGTCGCTTGCCCTGAAGACAGGTGATGTTTTGTTGACGATCAGGCCAAAATCTTCTACGGTATTGAAGCCGTAGCTGTAAATATTCATCAAAATGTATCAACATTTTGTACATATACAATAACCCTTTATTAAAGTAATTGAGCTGATTTGGACTGGAATAAAATATTTTTTATTTGGGACACATCGCAATATTGATCAGGAAATATTTTTTTGCTCCAATTTTCTGCATCGATGCCGTGGACCGGTGACCGTTATACAATTTAAAATCAGTTTGCATTGTTTACTTTAGCTGTTCACAGTGTTCTAATCATTACGATTTACTTATTTTTTGCTTCCATTCTAGATAATTATGCTCAGTGTTTGATGTAAAGTTGAAGCGATGACTGAATAAACGAACCTTGGCTGGCAAAGATGTGTCATGAATTTGTTTTTGCGTATATGTTGACCGACTTAATTAGCTGATTATTAGCTGAATTGCTGTGTTATGTCTGTCATCGTTTAGGTCTATTTGAAATTTTGGACGGAACTTGGCTCAGTGATTTGGAACTAATTACGAGATATCCGTCGCGATTCTGACAGTTGGTATCCATAGTTATTAATGTAGTGAACGATTAATCAAAATATATGACGTATTCAGTACTTAGTGTGATTGGCTTTATGATTGAAGGTTACGCCCTAGAGTCTTTTTACTGCTTTGTAATTGGTTAGAGTTTTGAAAATAAATAAAGAGAGTTTGAGTTGGTCTTGGGGAGCACAGCACGATAGACGCAGTAGAGAGAGAGTGCAGTCCTGGGCAGTGGAGAGTCGAGTCCAGGGGCGAGCCTTGAGGCAGTCCAGTCTTGTGAGAGTCTTGGGGACTTTTCCCCAGGGCGCTGTGTCTTATAGAGTGCTCCAAAAGATCGACTAAGACGAGAGTTGAAACGTATTTCGTTGTGTGTGCCTTATTTGACTGTAAAGTTAAAGTGACTTTCCCGATCCCGTACCTCAAGGGGACGAGATAGAGAGACGAGACGAGGCGAGTTTCCCCCCTGACACGTGTGGAGAACCCAGAGAGAAGATGATTTTCCCCCTGAAAGATGTATCAGGAAGTGTACGCATTTGTTGGAAGTGAAAAAAATATTCAATGTAATGACAAAAATTGTAAAATGCTGTGGAATTTCTTTTGTAAATAAAAATATACTAGCAATTTTCTATTAATGGTTTATTCAAGTGGGCAAAATATAATGTACAGAAAGATTGCCCGTAGAGTATCGCTACACTGAAAAAATAAGCAGCCGACAGCCTGTATAAAAGGGGGGCTGTGATTGGCTGTTACTTACGCAAGATTTGAACGGGACTTACATAGGCGTCGGATCAGATGTAGAGCGGAATTTAAAAAAAATCAAAGTAAAATAATAAGGCATTAATAACAAAAGTAATAAAAAAATAAAATTAAAATAAATTTATAGCCAAAATAATTAAAGCCTGTACACTACATCAGATTTTAATCAGATTGACGCAGTAGTAGGGGAGGGAGGATACGTTCACAGATACTAGTAATATACATTAAACAGATATTTTGTATGCGTTCATAAGAGATAAAATAGCAAACATGAAAAATATAAAATGAAGCACAGCATCATGGGCATACTGTAGTTACCTCCATGAACTGATTAACTGGGTATTTGATATGTATAATATACGGCCAAAACTAGAAAACTAAATATTTTTCAGCAGTCACATATTTTTGCCGCCATTTCGAATTTCCTTTAAAACTAGCCAAAATTGTTGGCAATAGTAAATACATGTTATTCGGAACAATTCATATGAGAAATTTGGTTTGTGTCATCTATATAACACGTGAATTATAATCTAACAATCTCATTTTGGTCACAGATAACAGTTTGCCACTTGACCTTCAATAAACACTATTCACATAGACATTATCAGGTCATCCAATAAGTGGTCAACCATTTAAAATCACGATTTTGCTGAAAGATTTGTCCACCAATAGAAAAAAATGCCTGCAAGGTGTTACAGGTCGCTGACATCACTTGAAGTTTTAATTCCATTTCCAATCGTCGTGTAACTTATTGTTTCATTGTTTTTTGTCTCGTATTGCTGAACTATGAACGTCCTAATCTAAACTTACCCGATTTGGGATACGTTACAACAAAACAATCGTCAGATCGAACTTGGAGAATCTCAGGATTCTCGACAACATCTCGACGTATACTGTCTGAATATAACCGATCCATATGACGCCATTCCCCTGGAAGAGTATAGCAGTCGTTTTCGCCAAGGTCGAATATTGTAGCCATGTCGGTTGAAAAGGCGTAATGATGTCAATGTCATGTGCAGGGGGGTGTTGCATAACACGATTGGTTGAAATAATCGTCTTATTTGCATAAATTAATATTCATGAGCAATGAAAAACTCGTCTTTTCAATGGTCATGTGATTGATGATTAAATCACAGAGAGCCAATGAACTATAGCCAACTACACGCAGTCTCTATGAGCGGGGGTGGTATCGGCTGCATCTAGTGTAAAAAATATTTCTCACACTAGGCTCCCTGTAATTAAATCTGAGCCGATTGCAACACAATAGTGAACTCAAAAATTAGTGTTTTTCAAGTTCAAGCATGTAGTCTGAACCATGAGCTGAACCTGAACTGAACTGAAGAAGTGGGGTAAGGGGGGATAGCTGGTACAGGTTACACGGAATAAAAAAAGGCATTTTACGTTTTTACAGGAAATAAAATGAAAGTTTCATTTACAGTAAAAAAAAGGTTTTTACACTTTACAGATAAAGCAAATTCCATTTTACATTTTTATAATATATTTGATAATTTGTGTTTCAGAATCAAAATTGGAAATTGTGTAAGAATTACCACATTTAATGTGGAAAATGCTTTACAAAGAATGCTTACAAAGAATAAGATCTTTATACAAATTACGGACGAATATAATAGCTGATTACATTTTACATCTTGCCTATGTCTACGAATTCACGATTTTTATTTTTTTATTACATTATTACGATAATAGGGGTATTGGCGGCTAAATCGTTCTACTTTCACACCGTTTGTTTTACAGAAAGTAAAAAATTTAGTCTCTCACTTTGAAAACAGCCAGAATCTACAACATGCGTACACTTTCGTCCGGTTCGAAAATCGAACACCTACCTGGCAATGTTTTTGTGAGCGTCTTTGAAAGTAGCTCCACAATGACGCATCTATCAATCAACGACAAGCATAAGATTGCGTGGTGATTCGTAGAAATAGAATTCTGCCTTGGAGATTGGTGGCAGTAGTGACCCGTACCCGTGGCAACGAAAGGGTTTCCCGAGGAAGTAGATTAACCGAACGTAATCCGGGGAAGTAGTATCACGTGATTGCATGTATAAAATTTATTTTAAAATCACGCCCAGTTGCATTTTATGTTTTTTTAATGGGAAAATTACCTAAACACCATTTTACCTATCGATTTCGTCGTTCGCTATCTTATTCCCAAACTTCCCCAGGTCTGTAAGTAGGATGGTGAAAACTGCCCCGAGTCGCCCGATAGGCGTGGTCATTTGTGTAACTCGATGTTTTCGTAACTTGATGTTCGTAAAATGTAAAATGTAAAATGAAACCTTGAACAACTCAACCCGCACGCAAACTTTAGAGATTTTCAGGTTGGTCGAGTGTCCACTAGGGACACGTTGATTACTAAATCTTGGGTAATCTACCACAGTTATCTGAAACAATCAGAAAACGAAGACTCAGACTAGCGGGACACTGCTTCAGAAACAACGAACCAGCGTCATTGGTACTACTCAGGCTGTGGAAACCAACCCATGGACAGATAAGACCTGGCAGGCCTTTTGATGAATACGTATCCGGGCTTCAAAAGGATACTGGCCTAAGTATTGAAGAACTAAATGTTCTGATGAGGGACAGGGAATTGTGGAGGAAGCTGACCATGAAACCGGGTGCGTCGATCGTCCGACTGATGATGATGATGGCATCACTGGTGGACACTATAAAATTCTGACCGCTGTGGCTCGGAAAATAAACAGTTTGAAACCTAACTGTCAGCTTTGATCACTCATTATTAAGCATGTACTACTTCTATTCTAGATCCCATGAATGTGCAATATATGACGGTTTTTCTATGACAGAGAAAATGGAATCACCGCGGCTAGTGATGTCGCATT